TAAAAGAAATTCCAAGCAAGAGAAAAAGCAAAACAATTCAAGCCATGCTAGACAAGCATATTACTCATAAACATGGGCAGGGCAATATCTCGACTCAGGGCCATCATAGATAGGCAGATTCACAAGTTCAGGAATTTGAGGGTCTCTCAGCCGAAGATGAGCGGGTTGGTCATGATCATGATTTGTATTGCTCCTGAAGGCCCAAGAAAAACAAGTGAAAAAAAACACTGTAGGATGTCGAAAAGATAAGCACCAGAATTAGCATTGACCTTTCTTAGACAATGCGACTTCATTCAAATTACACAAACTAAACTAGGCCCTTGAAAGGAAAATCAACCATTTATACTATCAAGAACTTGCTTTAGTACTTGTTTGAATGCTTTTTCGTACACTACAGCATATTTCTGTACCTTTGTTGGGCTTACAAAATAATAATCCTGCCCCATCATCCAACTTCAAAAGTATTTATTCTAACTGAAACCAAAATTAAAACCAGACTCGTAAATCACTCGTTCACAACATTTTCAGCTTCTATTACAGCTAAAAGGTCTTCCTCTTTATGTTTAGATCAGACATAACTTGTCGTAAAGGTGCTCACACGCACCATTAAAACCCACTCCAGCATGGGGGTTTCTAACGTGAGTTGAAACCACAAGCTCATAAAGAATATCCGCCATTTACTGACACTCCAACATGAAGTTTCTACCTGTATAGAGATGTTGGTACGTCAAATGACAGAACCCCATCAGGCTTTGGGTATTCAATTCGTGGGCATAACCGCGCTTCCTGAGAATATAGGACAATAATTAATACTGTGTAGAAGTCAATACTATCAATACAGAAGACATATGTAAAAAGGTCCCCTCAGTTGAAACTCATTTATCAGTACAAACAGCTAAGTGCACTAGTTCAGCAAAAGCATTTTACCATGTTTATTCTACAGGAAGGCAATAACAAATTAAGAAAGTTGGTATAATAGACTATCGACATGTGCACTAACTTAGTAGTGTAATAGAAAGTGTAATAGTCTCTGTTATTTCCATAGCCTATTACACTAACTTAAGTTACTAAAAGTCCTTGAATCATATCTATGGACAGAAATAAATCATGTAGTCAGAATGCATACTTGAAAGCAATGGTTTTCTCCCAATATGTAAAACCTTTAAAAAAACAATTTTCCTTTTTGGTGCATTTTTAATCTTTCACCAAAACTCAGAAAATTTTTAGTCAACTGTTTTACCACTTAATATACATCCTAAACCCTACCTCCTCAAACAAAAAAAGAAAATAAAGACAGGAATCCCTTATGTTGAATCCGATTTAATGTACATTATCTCTGTGGTCTGCTTTCCCACAGTTTTAATCCTCAAGTACAGACCCATCTAATAAGATTCCAATTATGTTTGTTAAGTTTTAGTAGGCTCTCACCTTTGTCGCCTCATGATCAGGTTTTCCATGCTTCAGAGTCCAGGGAGATCTTCCTTTCATTACATAGCTGCCCACAAAGAAAGAATGTTTAGAACATCAAATAAAAAGAATTGTTCAGAAGAATGACAAAGTCTTCTCAAAACAATGAAGTAAAAGGACAATATCTTACTGTTCTAAAGCACTCAAAACCAATCCTGGAATGAGCCCATATTCAAATGCCTGCAATATAAGTAGTGGAAACTTAAAGGTCAAGCCTACAAATAATTATTGAGTGGACGTTATAAATAAAACTTTCCAGAGAATCCACTGGTTTTTTGTTTATCTTAGAGCTTCAATCCAGAACATCAGACATGAAAGTCTCCAGTTTTTGACAATCTCATATCAAGTTATTTGAAAGATCTTGTTCAATCCAGGTGACAGCAGATATATTTTTCATCTAAAGTTGGATTCAGAACATGATGAAGAGAATTTTCACAAAATTGTAAGTGTTTATATGGCAAAACTCACAGGGCGGAAATTCCTTGCAGCATGGAGTTCTCTCCATATCCATGAATTTATTAATTTTTCCCAATAGGCTTCCATTGAGAAACCTTCATGGAGCACGCCAAATGCAGTTTCTGCTGCTACCATCCCTGTGACGAATTAGCATATTAGAAGTGCACACTTGTTTCTTCAGGCATCCTTCCCACCCAAGTAGCCATCTTAAAGTATTCGGAGCTATCCACAGTATATGATATTTCAGATGCATATTAACTATCATGCAGTACACTTTTCTCTTAGAAAACGTGTGCTTTAGGCTTTGTAAAGAGGTATCTTGGGAGGAAAACATCTAGTCACCGTATTATGAGTGACCAACTAATATTTATAGGAGTACAAACCTAACGGACTGTTTACAAGAATACCCTTACTAATATATTATCTACAAGAATACTAATATTCTCCTAACACTCCCCCTCAAGTTGGAGCATATATATCATAAGCACCCAACTTGTTACAAAGGTATTTCACCCTAGAGCCCCCTAAACTCTTGGTAAACAAATCAGCCAATTGATCTGCAGACGGTACATGAGATGTCTTGATGATTCCATCAAGTAATTTCTCTCGAATGAAATGACAATCAACTTCAATATGTTTTGTCCTTTCATGAAACACTGGATTAGACGCAATATGGACAGCCGCCTGATTATCACACACTAAATTCATAGGCTGTTTATACTCAAACCCAATTTCAACTAACATGTTTTTCAACCAAACCAACTCACACACAGTGTGAGCCATAGCACGGTATTCAGATTCTGCACTTGATCTGGAGACAACTGTTTGCTTCTTACTCTTCCACGACACTAAATTACCACCAACAAACACACAATATCCTGTGGTCGATCTTCGATCTGAGGCAGAACCAGCCCAATCTGCATCACTATATCCTTCAATATCAGTGTGTCCATGATTTTGATATAGCAACCCTTTTCCAGGAGCACCCTTAAGATACCTGAGAATTCGTATAACAGCATCCCAATGACTAGTACGAGGAGTATCAAGAAATTGACTCACAACACTCACTGCAAATGAAATGTCAGGTCTCGTTACAGTGAGATAATTTAACTTACCCACAAGTTTTCGATATTGCTTAGGATCATCAAGTAATGCTCCTTGATCTCTTGCTAATTTCACATTGGGATCCATAGGAGTATCCACAGGTCGGCAACCTAACATCCCAACTTCACTCAACATATCGAGTACATATTTCCTTTGACATAAATAAATCCCATATTTAGACCGAGCTACCTCAATACCCAGAAAATACTGTAAATGACCTAAATCCTTTGTCTGAAAGTTTGCCTGCAGATTGGATTTAAGTTTCTGGATCCCCACAACATCATCACCTGTAATCACAATATCATCCACATAAACAACTAATAAAATTTTACCAGCATTAGAATGCCCATAAAATACAGAGTGGTCTACTCCACATCTCGTCAGACCGAACTCCATGACCACACTACTAAACCGGCCAAACCAAGCCCTTGGAGACTGTTTCAATCCATATAAGGATTTTTTCAAACAACAAACCAACTGCGAATTCTCCCCCTGAACAACAAATCCAGGAGGTTGTTCCATATATACCTCTTCGTCCAAATCTCCATGCAGAAATGCATTTTTCACATCCAACTGATGCAATGGCCAATTGTAAGTTGCTGCCAAAGAGATAAGAAGGCGAACCGAGGTAATCTTTGCAACAGGAGAAAATGTTTCTAAGTAGTCTACTCCATACACCTGAGTAAATCCTCGAGCTACCAGACGAGCCTTCAATCTATCAATAGAACCATTAGGCTGCACCTTTATAGTGTACACCCATTTACAACCAACAACAGGCTTACCTGAAGGACGAGGGACAAGATCCCAAGTACTATTTTTCTCCAAAGCAAGCATCTCTTCCTGCATAGCTAACCTCCAACCAGGATCATTGAGAGCATGGGTAATAGACTTAGGAATGGATACCGAATCAAGAGATGCAACAAAAGAAGAATATGACAGAGAGAGACGAGAATAAGAGACAAAATTAGAAATAGGATGAGAAGTACAATGTCTCTTACCTTTACGTAAAGCAATAGGAAGATCTGACTCACAAGAGGGCGTCATACCTGGATCTAAAGATTGAGAGTTAATTGGTGAAGTGCGTAGCATATCAGGAGCTTTCTCAACCATGGAACGACGAGAATAAACTTGAAGATTAGGATGAGATAATCGAGTGGTGGAATCTGGTGAACCCGATAACTCAGGTAATAAAGATGAAGGGACTGGTAAAACAGGAGGAGAAAAAGAGGAACACTGGTCTAACTCACAAGACATAACTTGCTTCATAAAATAAGGAGTGGATTCAAAGAAAGTAACATCAGCACAAGTGAAAAAACGATTTAAAACTGGACTGTAACATCTATACCCCTTTTGCGCTCGTGCGTATCCTAAGAAAATACACTTAATGGCACGAGAATCTAATTTATCCACCCCGGGAGCAAGCTGATGAACAAAACACACACAACCAAAAATACGAGGAGGTAATTTAAATATAGGGTCCTGAGGAAAAAGAATGGAGTGAGGTAGTTGGCCTCCAAGAATATCGGATGGCATGCGATTAATTAAATAACATGCAGTTAAAACTGCATCACTCCAAAATTGTTTGGGTACATTCATGTGCAACAAAAGTGTCCGAGCAACTTCGATTAAATGTCCAATTTTTCTTTCAGCAACTCCATTCTGTTGTGGAGTGTGAGGACAAGAGGACTGATGAAGAATACCGGACTTAGTCATAAAGGTATCAAAAGGAGTGGAAAAATATTCTTTCGCATTATCACTGCGAAGTATACGTACAGGCACACCAAATTGAGTCTTTATTTCTGTAACAAATGCACAAAAAATGGAATATAATTCTGAACGATCTTTCATTAAATAAAGCCATGTAACTCTGGAAAAATCATCAACAAAGATTACAAAATATTTAAAACCTAACTTTGAAGTTACTCGACTAGGACCCCAAACATCAGAATGAACTAACAAAAAGGGTTCCGAAACCCGTTTATTGACTCTAGGGACAAAAGAAACACGATGATGCTTTCCTAATTGACAAGACTCACATTCTAATGAAGACAACTGACTCAAGGTAGGGACCAACTTCTTCAAATTTTGTAGAGACGGATGACCCAAACGACAGTGAATTTTAAGAGGAGAAACAGTAGCAGGGCACGCAATCGGACCATTAGAGTTGAGAAAGTAAAGACCATTATGCTCATGTCCTCCACCAATCGTCCTCTTTGTCTTCAAATCCTGAATGACAACAAAATCAGGAGAAAAAATAACTGAACACTGTAGAGATTTAGTAAGCTTACTAACGGACATTAGATTAAAAGGCAAACTGGGAACGTAAAGAACAGAAGGCAGCGGAAGAGATGAGTTAATTTCTACAGTGCCTAGTCCTTTAACTTTAGTTGTAGATCCATCAGCTAAAGTAACATGAGGGAAGGAAGTAGACTCTTGAAAATTAGAAAAATTTCTAGAGGTACCTGACATATGATCAGTAGCTCCGGAATCAATGATCCATGAGTCAAAATTAGATGATGTGGAGAGACAAGCCATAGCATTACCTTTTTGTGCTACAGAAGTAGAGGGAAGAGATGCGTGATTTGCAGTTTGGTACTGCAGAAATTTGATATAATCTTCCTCAGATATGGTAACAGTCTTCTGAGACCCTTGTGCTAAAGAACTTGATTCAGTTTGATCAGTGGTAACCGTATTAACAAACCGAGGTGGTTTTTCATTTAAATCCCAACAAGTATCACGAGTGTGATTCTTTAAACCACAATGATTGCACTCACGGGTGCCTCGACCTCCACGACCCCCACGACCTCCTCTACTTCTTCCTCCACGAGAGCCACGTCCAAAATTAAGTTGCTCTGTCCGATTATTGTTAGCAATTAAAGCAGATTTGTCATTAATTAAAGCACCATCACCCTGTGCATTGTCCTTAGATGCAGAACGTAAGACCCGAGCATATGCCTCTGCAAAGGATGGTAATTGTTCACCTGCTAAAATTTGAGATTTGATTGGTTCAAATTCCGGCTTGAGACCAGCCAGGAATTTGAGCACAAGCATTTGTTCTCTTTGCCTCTGCATAACCTTGATATCACTTGAGAGAGGCATTACAGCATTTAATTCCTCTGAGACTCGCTTAAGATCAGCAAAGTATTCAGTTACTGTCTTGTTATCTTGTTGCAACTGAAAATACTCCAAAGAAATATCAAACATCCGTGAGAGATTACTGCAATATAATAACCGGACATAATCCCAAACTTCTTTTGTTGTCTCACAATGAGAACACATGTAAGCAATTCGTGGCTCCATAGAATTCCATATTGCTCCAAGAATTTGGGCATCCTCTTGAATCCACATTAGTTTCTTGCTATCCTCCGTAGGAGAGTCATCTATGAGATAACGTTGCTTTCCTAAGCCTGTCAGATAAATCTTAACAGCTTTTGACCACTGTTGATAATTGGTATCATTCAACTTCCAATTTGTGATTTGAGGCATCACCATTGGCATAATATTAGTGGACGTCACAATACTTTTTGATAAACTTTCAGCCATAGCGAATAGCACTTCAAACCCAAGAAAGGGTCAAAACTCGAGACGCGTGAACAGTACGCGTGAACAGTGCCGGCGTGAACAGTGCGCCGTGAACAGTACTTTTGCTAGATGTTTAACCTAAACCCTAGGACTCTTGCTCTGATACCATGTAAAGAGGTATCTTGGGAGGAAAACATCTAGTCACCGTATTATGAGTGACCAACTAATATTTATAGGAGTACAAACCTAACGGACTGTTTACAAGAATACCCTTACTAATATATTATCTACAAGAATACTAATATTCTCCTAACAGGCTTATTACAGATGACAAGCAATATCATGATGTCCATATCAGAGTGATTCTTTGAACTGTAACAAGAAGACATAAGATAAACAGTAAACAAGTGCCGCCTTAAGGCCACACATCCTTCGCTCTAGCCTTCAACAAGAAGTCCATTTCTCTTCATCATTCTGACATTCGATGACTTAACTCATCAAAAGATGAACAACTGCTATCAAATAAGCTTATTTGATTCAACTAGACATGAGACCTATGAAGTTTGAAAGATAAAATAGTTCAAAGAGAGACCTGGAAACATTTGGGAGTCATAATATATAGTTGACGTACATTAAAGGAGAATGTTGGGAAAAATCACACTTAGCTTTTAATATCTATCTAGTAATTCAATCAATCATTGCAACATTCTAGTCTAACTCTTCGATGTGCAGAATATTAGGTTTTGGGCTCTATCTCCATACTGAAAAACAGAATCAAAAAGGATCCAAGCATTTAAAATATTAAGGTTCTACTCAAAGAAATCGACTTGTGCTATTCAGGGAAGAAAGTAGATGCTCTAAGACAGACCAAAACTACAAACTGTAAACCTTATAGTTGGGATGATGGACCAGTCGAAAGGAATACAAGCTCACAAGCATTTCAAATGAGCATAGATGAAAGATATCTAGTACATTAAATTCTGACAAGAAGTAATATTGCAAAGCAAAATGTTTTACAAAAAAATGACATTGAGTAAAATTAGGATTGTATGGTTTATAACCCAAACTTTTTTTTCAAGAAACAACTGAGAGTTTATCACCCAAAGCAACTGTATATTTACTCCAAAAAGTTGGCTTACGTGGGCAGATTGATAATACCCCAATTCTTCCAGGAAAATAAAAGTTTCTAGTCTAAAAGCATATTAGCAAGTGCTCTTAGTCCATATGTTATACAGATTTCATCACACAGCAGGATTTAATTTTTCAATCAAAGATTCAACAAAACCCAAAAAAAAAACCAAAAAAAAATGGTCATGGCATGCAGTTATTTTTAGGAAAAAAAAAAGGTTCAATTACTATGTTAATTTTGTATTCATTGGAAACAATGAGCCTAAATGTTGATTGCTTCACCTACACATACGCATGTCTTTATGCATCTTCAAGTTGTTATATATATAACGCCTGAAATTACCTAATTCAGAAGTGGACTTAAATTAATCAGCTAAAACCCAAATAACAAGAGAATGAAAGTGGAAGCTGGTACCTGATTTCATAGCAGTATGTGTTCCCTTTATTTTTGGTACATTTAAGAAGCCAGCAGAACATCCAATAATTGCTCCACCAGGGAAAACTGGATATGGGATAGACTGAAATTTAATTAACATCTCATTTAGTATACAGCACAATGAAATACAAAGAATTTAAATCTATAAATGGATATGTTTTGGACAAATGGTCACTTGTCTCTCCCTTTGATTTAAATACAGCATTGTAAGAGTGCATTTCACCTAAATAATCAATGTACTCAGTGCAGTTCTCATAAACAGCTAAGAAGAGTGGCACTCATTGAGATCCCGCAAACAACAGGGTCAAACTATAATGCAACCTTTGTTGTTAGCAGTATCCTGCTGTATCTAGTTTAAGGAACTGCTTGATATCCGGAAAAAGAACTTAAGGCACACCTGATAACCGCCTTCATTCAAAGTCCGAGCACCATATTGAAGGACAGTCCCTCTCTCAAGAAGATTGCGGATGGCAGGATGATGTTTAAATTTCTGACATAAAGACAAATGATATAAAAAAAAAACTAGTGTTATTTGGACATAAGCTAGAAAAAACTAATCACACATGAGCCATCATCTGGCTTGAAATTACACAGAAAAATTAAAACAAATTTTCATTGAAAAAGAAATGTTCCAAGAAAACTTTCAAACGTATTTATCAGGATCATGGAAAGGAACAGTAATCAAGTTTCTACCCAAAGACCCACAATGGTATTAAAAATTATAGGTTTCCTCATAGCACATTTTGCAAATATAAAAGAAAATACTAAACTAGGCATATGATGGTACATGGAGTACGATAAGGTTAAGATTGTAACTATGTGCATGTGCAAAATCTATGGCATGACAGTAGATGGTAAGAACAAGTCAAAATCCATGTCCAAGATGTTTCAGATGCATATTTGCATGAAGTGTTCAGTAATCAGTTTACATTTATTTAATCAGCAGGAAGAATTAAACAGATTGCCACGAAAATTGTAAAACATACCCCCTTCCCTTGCGACAAGCAAAATGAAAATTTTGAATATTTCCCTTCTTCTTTTGCAAACACTAGGACCACAAAGAATATTAATATCTAGCCTGCCAGATTAATTATACTTGAGATTTTCCTGCCCCTCTCCTCCACAACCCCCAAAAAGAAGGCATGAAGGCATTCAAACCCTAGTCCCCCCACTTGACAACTTGGATTTAGTGAACTTAAAAGTCGGAATCACAGCAATTTTTGGTATTTCATAGTCCAGTTCCATCTCGTCCAAGTCAACCCTCAGGAGTAGCAGAGCACTAATAAAAGTATGCACATCTGACAACAGCATTATAGTCCACATTGTCACATGAACATTTGCCCACAATTGAATTGACTCATTAAACTTCAAAAGAAGGACAATGGGAAGAATTAAGTTTGAAACCCTGTGAATATCACAATAAACTCCCAAGAAATGTAAAAAACAAAAAACATACAAAGATAGGGGAAACTTTTATTATTAAGAGACCCAAATGAACCTGGAATTCTTCATATGGGTTCAAGAATGGGTTCTGATAGTTCAGAGCAACCACAAAACCAATAGCAACCTGTAAACCAGTAAATCAATACTCTCAATTTCTAGCAAAGCCTGCTACTAGATTTCAATGGATATTTTATCCACATAGAGTTTTTGTGAAAAATACAAGACTAACCACACAAATTTGGAAATTGTAACTTTCATGTATTAAAAATTTCATTGCCTACAAGAGAGTTCATACAAATGAGAGAACCAAGAAACCTGAGTAATCTACCAATATGTTTAATGAAAAACAAATTTCTATCTCCTTAAATTTTGACAACCAAATACTATAGAATTCTAGACTATTTAGCACAGAGTTTTCACTTGGTACCATGTAATATGGTACATACATCTTCGATTGAACTATTCATCAGAGAAGTTAATCAGCTACTAATGAAATTATAATTAAAAGGCTCCATCAGACATCAACAATCCATTCCTGTCACATGGACTTAGGTTACATGGTCTATGAGATTCCCTTCTGAGCAGAAATGATATTAGAACCTCAGAATTAGACTAATTTTCTTATGCATATCTTCCATCTCCATGCCAGGATAATCACATTGTAACAAGATGGGCTAATATTTCAACCACATAGGGTGCTCTAAAGGGCAAACTGTAATGAAATACCACATTCAACATCATAAAAAGCCTAGTTGATGCAGTCAACAAAGTTTTCCAGGAAAGCTAAAATAAAAGATTTTCATGATATTCCTCAAGCTCCAATTAAGCATCCCCTGAAGATTAGCAGCCTAATTAGGAGCAACAATACATCAATTAAGTTCTTTATTTAAGATTATTGTAACTTAATTCCTCAAGTTCTAATAGTTTCTAGAGTTTTAGGTCTCAAGGTGCATTTTGGTCTATAACTTGTTCGCAAAAATTTCGAGCAATTGTCTCGTTAGTCTTTTATAGTCATTAACTAGATGGAGTAGACATTGTGAAGAGAAGTTCTATAATTTGCTTTACAGTTTAGCATAAAAATCGGATTTTTAGCAAAGTTTATAGCTTATACATACTTATCTTCCTTCATTATTCTAGAGAGATAGATTGATGAATAAGAATCCAGTTTTGGCTTATTAGTTGTTTTATTCTTCCTCCCCCTAAACCCCCATTTTCCAACACTACATGCTGCAAACATTTTCAGGTTCGACTTTTCTTGAAAATTTTATTGAACTAAACCTTCAAATATTTTCCCTTCAACCAACTTCTACACACAAAATAGGAAGCTCAATGCTTAGATGAAATCCTTTTGGAAGTAAGAAGCTGCAACTAGCCCTTACCACATTCCCATCATGAAGGATAAGAGGAGGAAATCTCCCGATGACTTATTTGTTTCTGGGTCTTCTAGTCAGAACATATCAATGTGTGATCTTAAGATAATTATACGATTACTGAAATGAATTGATGAGTCCAATTAAATCACACTTACAGAGGGTACCGATTTTCATACTGCAGCCACACTCTTCTACTAGCACAAAGGCCAAAATCACATTGATCACATATGACGGAAAGAAAAGATTTGAGAGAGAGAGAGAGACCTGTCTATCTTTCATATGGTACAAAAAAGATCCGCCATATGTCTTATGATCCAAGGGCCAACCAAGTGTGTGAAGCACTAACCCAGGATAGTGTTTATCACCACTGACTTCCCATACCTGAGAAAAATAACCCCAGCAATCTTCAGTAGATGCAGAGATTAGTAGATCTGCTTTACGACTAAAGATCAAGGTCAACTTTCTTCTCAAGTTATATTCAAATCAGGGAGATCGAGTGTAAGCTGCTGCAAAAGCAATTGAGTATAACACAATTGAACATCCAAATCTTCTAATCTTTCTGATGCAGAACGTTTAAGGATTTTCTAGCTTTTCCTATTAATGTGTTCTGGTAACTTTTTTATGTTCACTAGTGTTTTATGTTGTACTAGAATTTCGGGGTTTGAAGGGCATTTATGCAATTTCACCACATTTTGGAAGAGGTCAGAGCTGTACATTGCTGAAAGTAATTTCAGGTCATTCAGGGCAGCATAAAAAATTAGGGTTTAACAGAAAATCATATTGGCTTCTAACAATAACTTTATATGTTCCAGCCTGCTTGGCCCCATACACTTTTTAAGCTGTAATCT